AATTTTGAGTTTCATTTTGAGTGAAAGGGCTTAATAATGCAAACGTAAGATCCTGAGGGAGCAGCACCTCTCACATGATGCTCAGCAGGTACCTGAGGCCCTTTTGCCACCCAGGCAGAGCTTCTGTGCCAGCTACAGGCGAAAAATAAAGGCAAAAAGACTGGCAAAGAGCTGAGCTTTGAGTGCACGGAGGACTTCGGAGCACATGATTCACCCTGAGCTGGCAGTTCCAAGCACTGACACATCCCCTGGTGCTCTGGGGGGGAAAAGGAGCATTGTTCCTCCTTCAGCACCATCCTCATCCCCAGGCAGCTCTGAGGGGACCCTCAGCTCCTCAGGACTCCAAAATCTGCAAGCAGAAACTTTGCAGATTGGAAGGACACCCGGAGAGGCTCCCTGGCCCAGAGTGAGAGCCCTAAAGGCACATTCAGGACACAGAAATTTTGGATTCCCTCATGTCTCCCGTGTGCCATCCCCTTTTTCCTCTTTCCACCCAAAAAGCAATAATCTTCCTGCTCCTGGAAGAAAATGGTTTGAAAAGCAGAAATGCGGGAGTGCTCCTGTGCAAATGCTCTGTGAGGACACCCTGCCAAGGGACAGCCTGGCTTAGCCACCAAGGCAGGGACTGATCCCAACTGCTCCACCCTAATCCCATAGAGCAGCAAAATCTTGCTGAGGAGTCCCACTGCAGGCCAGGCACCAGGGTTTGGGGGGAAACCGATAACAGAGCACATCTGGGGGTACATGCAGCTGTGGGGAGCCCCAGCTGTGTTTTCTGCAGGGGTTGCAGGGCAGCCCAGACACCCTGCAAAGGCTCAGCCCCTGCTGCCTCCCCCAGGCTTTAGCAGGGCGGGGAAGGTGTGAAACGCTGCCAGGCTCACCCCAAAGCAGAGCTGGGGTGATGAACCAGCACCTCCGGAGCTTGGGGTGGGATTCAGTGCCCCTGAGAGAGCCCTGGGGCTGAGCAGGATGAGGGAGCCAGAAGTCAAACCAGCTCTCCATGGTGAATCCTATTAATCCTATAAATAGCGCTGGGGCAGGAGAGGGTGAGTGCCAGCTCCTTGTGCTGACATCACCCAGCTGAGACCTCTTGGTGACAGATCAGGACCGTGCCCCGAGGGCAGTAGAGGGGTCCCACCCCAGAAAATGACTCCAAACGGAGAAACGAACCCAAATCATCCCCAGGGTGAGGAGTCACAGATCAGGACCTTGCCCCAAGGGGAACAGAGCCAGAAAATGACCCCAAATTGAGGAATGAACCAAAATCACCCCATGGCATTGCCCAGGACAAGGAGTCACAGATCAGGGCCTTGCCCCAAGGGGAACAGAGCCAGGAAATGACCCCAAACAGAGAAACGAACCCAAATCATCCCAGGGCAAGGAGTCACAGATCAGGACCCTGCCCCGAGGGCAGCAAAGCCAGAAAATGACTCCAAAGAGAGAAATGAACCCAAATCCCCCCCAGGACATTTTCCAGGGTGAGGAGTCACAGATCAGGACCTTGTCCCAAGGGAACCAGAGCCAGAAAATGACCCCAAACAGAGAAACGAACCCAAATCACCGCCAGGGTATTGCCCAGGGTGAGGAATCACAGCTCACAGGCAGGATGGCACCTCCACCCAGGCAGGGTGAAGGAGAGGGGTTGGGAAATGCAGGAATCACCCACTGGGCTGAGAACCAGGGGAAATGCCCCATGGAACAGCTGGTGAGGGGCAGGACAGCCCTGCAGCTCCCTGCAGCCCAGAAATGGGGGAGATTCCCCCAAAACCTGCATTTCAGCCTGCCCTGCTTGCCCCACAACCCCTGCCAGCCTCCCTGGCCTCTCTGGAATGGATTGTTTGTTCAGCATAATCTCGGGGAGGGGGGGAAGAAAATAGTTATTTTAAATGACTCACTGCACACGGGCAGGCACATAATGAAGTTTGCCACAGGAAATGATCCTCCAGCTCGAAAAAGACAAGGTGTGGTGTTGTTCAAATGCAGCCTGGAGCTGCCAGGCCCGCTTGTGACACGTTTCTCTGTGCCCCATCTGTTTGCAAGAGCTGGCAGAAGTGTCAGCACATAAATAAACTGCATTTCCCCGAGGAAAGGGAACAGGCTGGGGCCACATGGACACAGTCAGAGCAGATGAGCCCCCTCTCTGTGGTTCCCTTTCATTATAAACTCCTGCTTTTAGCAGCCACACATCCCCGGGGCCCCATCCAGCTGTGGGATTGAATTATTTATCTGCCTGGGAGCCGCAGAAATCCCCACAAACAGCAGGGAAACACCTTCAAGGCAGGGCAGGCCATTAATGAGGGGCTTTAATGCCCAGGGGAGACTTTGCTGCATCTCAACATCAAACAAAACCATCCTGGCCTCAGATGTCTGCAGGTGACAGCATCCACCAGGGCCCTGGCTCTGAAAGGAAGGGGAAAAAGGGAAATAAACGGGCCTGAAGTGACAATTCAGCAATTTCGGGGTGCCTGGAGCAGGACGGGATTCCTCACATGGTGGAGAAAGCAGCAGTGCAGAAGGACAATGCTGCTCCAGCACTAATTAGGGATAATTGGGCTGCTGAGGAGCCCTCGGTCACAGGGGATGGAGAGGGAGGGGGAAAAGGAGAAAAAGGGACAAAGGAACCTCCCCGAGGCTCTTGGCTGTGCTGGGTCTGGTCAGCACCAGGCATCGGGACACAATTCCGCGTTAATGTAAATGTAAACAGCACCAGCATGGGGACACAATTCCACGTTAATGTAAATGTAAATAGCACCAGGCATGGGGACACAATTCCACCTTAATTTCTGTGTAAATAGCACCAGGCATGGGGACACAATTCCACGTTAATGTAAATGTAAATAGCACTAGCATGGGGACACAATTCCACGTTAATGTAAATGTAAACAGCACCAGCATGGGGACACAATTCTACGTTAATTTTAATGTAAATAGCACCAGGCATGGGGACACAATTCCACCTTAATTTCTGTGTAAATAGCACCAGGCATGGCGACACAATTCCACGTTAATTTCTGTGTAAATAAACACCCAAACGGGCCAACGGAGACGGGCAGGACTCAGAGCTGGTGATCACAGCAAGGATGGAGTGGGAGCTCCTCTCTCATTCCCAGAGCCTTGGCAAATCCCAGGTCCTCCCTTTGCTAAACCCATTTCAGTTTTACTTTTGTTGGGGCGTGTGAGGAGGCAGAGATCCCCATAATCTCTTTTTTCTGGTGGCAGAGGGAAGTTTCTTCCACAGCTGAGGTAAAACCAGCCAGGGCCAGACGCTGAGCATCGCTGGGGTTCACTCCCATCATTGATTAAATTATTAATAAATAAGTTACTAATTGTGCCTGGGGAGGATGTGCTGCCCCCAAGGACAGGAAGTACTGCTCGATCTAAACCCAGACCTTGGCTGGCTAAAAATGAGCTGACACTGTGAGGAGGAGGAGGAGGAGGAGGAGGAGGAGGAGGAGGAGGAGGAGGAGGAGGAACGGAGCCATTCCAGCCCCAGGAGCCGGGCCAGGCTCAGGTTTCACCCCCAGTTTGGTTTTCCCGGATTCGGGAAGCCCAGCAGGGGTGTCCAGGGTTCATTTTTCATTTTCTGTGCATAACAGGCACGGCACGGCTGAGGAGTCACCCAACACCAAACAGAATTCAGTTCTGTGCTTTAGGAAAGGATAAAAATCCCCTAAAAGTGAGAGAGAAAATAGCAGCAGCTCTGGGCTTCCAGCAAATCCCCACTCAGTTTTTCTTCCTTTTCAGCCCCAGCACGGGCTGCCCGGGCATTATAAATATCCATAAATACCCAACAAAACTCATTTTTGTGCCCCCCAAAGAGGGAGGTCCCACTGCTGTCCCCCCACAGCTGCGGGATCCCCATCTCTGCAGTTTCTTGTGCATGTCCTTATTTTACAATTCATTACCTTCCTAGCAAAATAGGCGAATAAAAACACTTTAAAAATTACATTTTCCCTACCAAGTTGCATTTCAGTCCCCCGAGGATTCATTTTACAGAAAAAGACGGGGGGAAAAACCCCAAAGCAGCTCTTTGGCTGCCTCTCCCAAGCAATGTGAGTCCATAAATGAGACTTCCAGCCCCCAGCACACATCCCTCAGCAGAGGAGTGGATTTTACACAACAAACGCTGCCCCACAGTTTGTGTTATTTATGGGACCCCACAGTTTGTGCTATTCACTGGGACCCCACGGTTTGTACAATTTACCGGGACCCCACAGTTTCTGTTATCTCCAGGACCCTACAGTTTGTGTTATTTACAAGGAACCCACAGTTTGTGTTATTTACCGAGACCCCACAGTTTGTGTTATTCACTGGGACCCCACAGTTTGTACAATTTCCTGGGACCCCACAGTTTGTGTCATTTACAGCGACCCCACAATTTGTGTTATTCACCAGAACCCCACAATCTGTACAATTTACCGGGACCCTACAGTTTGTGTTATTTACTGAGACCCCAGAGTTTCTGTTATTTCCAGGACCCCACAATTTGTGTTATTTCCCGGGACCCCACAGTTTGTGTTATTTACTGTAACCCCACAGTTTGTGTTATTTCCCGGACCCCACAGTTTGTACAATTTATCGGGACCCCGCAGTTTGTGTTATTTACCGTAACCCCACAGTTTGTGTTATTTACTGTAACCCCACAGTTTGTGTTATTTCCCGGACCCCACAGTTTGTACAATTTATCGGGACCCCACAGTTTGTGTTATTTACCGTAACCCCACAGTTTGTGTTATTTACCGAGACCCCACAGTTTGTGTTATTTCCCGGGACCCTACAGTTTGTGTTATTTACTGTAACCCCAGAGTTTGTGCTATTTCCCGGGACAGCAGCAGAGCAGCGAGAAGAGCTCCGACCCCTCCCGTAGAACCAGCCACAAACTCCTCACCACCTCCCGCTCCCCGCTGATCAATCTCGCTGTTTCCCCCCATTTCTGCCCCCCGATTCCGCACTGCCCCGCCGTGCCTTCCTCCCGGGGCAGCCGGGGGCCGCGGCTTTACCTCGCTGAATCCCTCCTGCAGGATGTCCAGCACGCTGCCCCGGGCCAGGCAGGCCAGCATGGTCCCGGGGGGCTCAGGGGCCGCGGCGCCGCCTCTCGCTGCTCTCCCTCCTCTCCCTCCCGAGCACAAAGGCCGGGAGGCGGCGGGGAAGGGCTCTCATGGTCCCATCTGTGCGGGCCGGGCCGAGCGGAGCCGCTGTGGGCGTGCTCGGGGGGAGGAGGCGGCGGAGATGTCACTCGGTTGTCACGGCGACGCCGCGGCTTTGCGAGATGCGGGCGCGGGGGGGAAACATCTGAAAGCCATTTCCAGGCGAAAGGGGGAAAACAGACCGCGAAACCATCCCCGAAATGGGGTTTTTCTAAACGAGATCTGCGTGGAGCGGGGGGAGAGAGGAGGAGGAGGAGGAGGAGGAAGGGAGGGAGGGAGGGAGGTGATGCCTTGCACGGGGAGCAGAGCGCTGAGAGGAGATGGTTCTGCAGCCACAGGAAGCCACAAGGCAGGCCACGACGGCTGGGAGGTTCGCAAGTTTGAACATTGAATTTTTCAATGAAAAAAAAAAAAAAAACAAAAAAACAAACCACCAAAAAAAACCCCACCAAAAAAAGCCAACCCCCCCCCCCAAAAAAAAACCAAAAAAAACCCAAACCAACCAAACAAAAAAACCCCAAAAACCAACCAAACAAACCCCCTCAAAACAAACAACCAAACCAAACAAAAACACCAACAAAACCCCCAAAACAAACAAACAGCCAAAACCAAAACCAAAACAAAACAAAAAACAAAAAAAATTCAACCCCCCCCCAAAAAAAACCCCAAAAAACCCTAAAAAAAACCCCAGAAAAACCAAAAAAAACCCACCACCAAACGCGAGAGAAAACGTCCAAACAATAACCACAACGCCCAGCTCGTTCCGTACACCACTAAGTGCTCCCAGGACAGAAATGGGTATCGGGTGTCCCCAGGCCGCCTCTCGGAGCCGGTGTCACCTTTCAGGAAGCGCCCGGGGAAGGAAAAAAGGAAAATGAAAGCGGAAAGGGTGAAACCCCCGGGCAGGGGCTCTGCCAGCCCTGACCCTCCGCTCCCAAAATCTCCTGCCAGGATTTCTAGGTGTGAAACGCGGTTCAAAATAAACTTGTTTTATTTTTTTTTTCCCCCTGCCTAAGTGTTGATGCATCCCGAGGAAAAATCAATGGCACAATTTCACAATTTTAGCCCAGCACAGCTAAAATACAGAAAGAGAAGCAACAGGTCGGTTCCCTCTGTAACCAACCCAAAAGGAGGCGGTTCCCTCTCGTCCCGCTCTAAATTATTCATTTTGCTCTCCTGCTTTCCATAATTCCCCGGGAGTGGAGATTTTGATGTTTTCATCGGTTCTAATGCCACATCTGTTCAGCAAAACAACAGATTACAGCCAGGCTTTGCACAAAGCCTCGGAAGCTGGGGCTGCTGGGGGCTTGGAGCCTTGATCCCGTTCACTTTTGAGCTTCAAAATGCCATTAAATAAATATTTAACCCCTTTTTTTTAATGCAATTGAGTAGCTTATGTCTGTGCAATTCCAATAGCATTTTGTGGGAAAACGAAGTGGTTCCCCCATGAGACAAAAAGTGACCTAATTTTGGAGGAAAAACCAACAAAACACACTCAGAGCTTCCAGTGTGGAGTTTAAAATGCTCTTCTTGACTAATAATTTATTACATTTTATATATATATATATATATATATATATATATATATATATATATATACAATATATATAGTATATTATATATTATTATACATTATATATTACATTATATTATATTGTATTGCATTGCATTGCATTATATTATATTATATTATATTATATTATATTATATTATATTATATTACATTATATATAATTTTTTATATTTATTACATTATATGTATTTACCACCTGTTTTTTACATGGCAAACACACATTTATAGGGGATTTGTAATAAAACAAGGAAGGATTTTGAGATTTTTGGGTCGACCAAGAAGATCTGGGATGCAGGGGCTCCCTTTCATCCCATCTCCCTCCTGCAGAGTCCCCTCCTGCTCCAGCAAAGGCAAAAATGTTCCAAATGTTCTCATTTTCCCTGCTAGGCTCGGGCACAGCCCTGCTCAGAGGTTTTCTCATCAAAGATTTCTTTCTGCAGGAGTTTCTCGTTGTATCCTTACAGTTTCTTATCTGTGCCTGAATGCCAGGGAATGGAAACCAGGCTGGACCTGCTGAGCCATTCTCCTGCCCATTGTGGGGACACAAATGGGGCTGGGCTGGGAGTGGGGGCTAAAAATAACTTTTAAAAATTAAATTCCACTTCCCCCTTTGTGCTTGACTCCCAAGTTTCCAGCTGCTGGTGGCAGGGTTGTGTTTTGCTGTCCATTTTACACAGGAGCTGCCTCTCAGTGCTGCTTTTGCCAGGAGCCTCTCACTAACAGGAAATTGAGAATTCTCCCTGAATTTTCCCAAGGGAATTCTCTGCCCAGTGACACCAAACCCATGGGGGTGACACCCAAAGGATGCCCCAGCAGCTGCCCCTGGGGTGAGTGACCTCCCAGCCCAGGCTTGGTGGCACTCGGTGGCATTGCCATCTCCTGGCCACTTCCAGCATGACCCCAGCCCTTGTCCTTGCGCCCTTCTGGTCACTAAAATCGGGGTTTGGGGGGTGAAAACAAAAGAGGAATCCCTGGGTCAGGAATATTTACAGTCTCATACATCACTTTTCTCTCTCTGGTAGCAAAAATCATTTCCTGAGACCTGTGGGGCTGACTTGTTCATTACCCAGAGATGATCACACATAGATGATCCAACCCCATTCCTGGGTCAGGAATTCACCCGTGGGGTTTGTGGGGATGCAGCAAGAACCCAGAGAGCTGCCCGAAGGCACGGCTGCACTCGTGTCACTGATCCCAAATCCTCCTGAGGCACCAAAAGGGACAGAAAGGGCACCAAAGGGACAGAAAAGGCACCAAAAGGAACAGAAAGGGCACCAAAAGGAACAGAAAGGGCACCAAAAAGGCTGCTGGGAACTCACAGAGGGTGCAGGAGGCTGTGGATGGTGACAGGGCCCCGTGCCCATCAGAGTCCCCATGCTGGATGTCACCTCAGTGCCACGGGAGGGTCCCAGCACTCCTGAGCCTGAGGGGAAAAGCAAATCCATCAGGGAGTTGGGATGTGATGGGATTGATGAGTTGGGATGGGATTGATGGGTTGGGATGGGATGGGATGGGATGGGATGGGATGGGATGGGATTGATGGGATGGGATGGGATGGGTGGGATGGGATGGGATGGGATGGGATGGGATGGGATGGGTGGGATGGGATGGGATGGGATGGGATGGGATGGGATGGGTGGGATGGGATGGGATGGGATGGGATGGGATTGATGGGATGGGATGGGATGGGTGGGATGGGATGGGATGGGATGGGATGGGATTGATGGGATGGGATAGGATGGGATTGATGGGATGGGATGGGATGGGTGGGATGGGATGGGATTGATGGGATGGGATGGGATGGGATGGGATTGATGGGATAGGATAGGATGGGATTGATGGGATGGGATGGGATGGGTGGGATGGGATGGGATGGGATGGGATTGATGGGATAGGATGGGATTGATGGGATGGGATGGGATGGGATGGGGTGGGATTGATGGGATGGGATGGGATGGGATTGATGGGATGGGATAGGATGGGATTGATGGGATGGGATGGGATGGGATTGATGGGATGGGATAGGATGGGATTGATGGGATGGGATTGATGGGATGGGATGGGATGGGATTGATGGGATGGGATAGGATGGGATTGATGGGATGGGATTGATGGGATGCGGTGGTACCAGGACCCGCACTCCCGGCCCTACCTGCTCCCGGCGCGTCTCCGGTTGCCGCGGGAACGGGGGCGGGATGGGGCGGGATGGCGCTGGCTCCGCCCCTGGATCGGGATCGGGATCGGGGGGCCGGGATCGGGATCGGGATGGGGATGGGATCGGAGCCAGCTCGGGGATGCCCCTGCCCAGCCCCGCACCGCCCCCGGGAGCGGGACCCTGTGTGTCCCCCCAGCCCCGCAAAGCCTCCCCCAAAGAGCGGAATTCTCACTCAAAACTGAACATTGCATCTTTAATGGCACATCAACACCCGCTGGGCACACTCGGCAGCCGCGGGCAGCGCAGATTTTAATGTTCAGTGTAAAACCAAGTCCTTCAAGAAAATCTGTATTGCAGAACACGCGGCTTCCACAATTCCCTACGGAAAACGTGGGAAAAGTCACCGGAATGGGAGTGTGGAATTGTCTGTAGGATAAGCATGGAATTATCTCTAGGATGAGTATGGAAATTGTCTCTAGGATGAGTATGGAAATTGTCTCTAGGATGTGTCACTTTAATTTTTTAAGTTTCTCTAAGCCTTCTGATGTTTACATTCTTGTAGTAAATTTTCTCACACACTTTCTGTAAATAACTCATTGTTTTGCATTCCTTTATGGAAGAAATTGGATGGGCTGTTGGTTTGTCCAGTGTCATTGCAGAGGTGGCACTGTCACTGTCACTTTTAGAAAACTGTAAATGCTGGAGTCAGAAAATAAACTTCCCTTTTCTTCACCTTGAGAGCAGCAGCGTGCACTCATGTTGGTTTGTGTCCTGTAGTGACAAAGATGAGCATGGAATTGTCTCCAGATGAACATGGAATTGTCTAAGGATGAGCACAAAATTGTCCTGCACTTCCAGGAACAGCCCAAGGGTGGTGTGGAAGCCGCAGCTGCTCAGGAAATGGCAGATAAGAACCATTCCAGGGGCTCGGGCACTCATTGAAACATGTAGGAAAAATGGGAATATTGGTCCTCAAACACTCCCACCTTGGCAAACACAGCCTGGAGCAGCTTTGTTTTTCACCACAAGCAGGAACTCCTTCGTGCTTTTCCCACCCAGCTGAGTTGTAAAATGAAAACTTGTGTGTGTTTATAAAAGGAACCATCTCTGCAAAGTTGTTTGTGTTTATAGAAGGAACCATCCCTGCAAAGTTCTGTGTGTTAATAATAAAATCTCCATTTCTACATTTCTAAATGCTGTGAGCATCTGGGGCTGCCCCAGAATCTGCTCTGCAGCCCTGACCGAGGAGCAGAATGTGCCAGCCTTGCTTTAGTGCCTGCAGAAGGGGTTTGGGGAGCCCTGGTGC